GCTCAAATTAACAGAAGGACTAACGGAGTGCATTTCGTGAAGTTGAGGGATCAAAAAAGTGCAAAAAATTGTTGAGGGATCAAAAATGTTCATTTCTTAAAGTTGAGGGACCAAATTAAGCATTTAACCTTGTTTTTTCTCTTTTTTGGACATCGGGAATAAACTTCATTTAAGCCTCAACTTTGGTAATGTATCTTACCAAGCCCTATAAGAAGTGTTTAAAACCACAAGAGCATTTCAACTTTTTCATTTTGACGAAATAACCCAAAAGAAACAATTACCCTCTTAAGTTGCCATTGATTAATGCTGGAATGATAACAGAATGTAGCATAATAAAAAAGCAAAAAAAATATTTTGTAAGACATCTTTCTAAATGATATCTCTAAAAATATCATATTTTAATTAATGTTTTTTAAAAACTAACTATTTGATTAGAGGCTTTAGTCATGTAAATCATGTATATGGATTTTTTGGTTAATTTAATGTACCTAACTTCTTCATTGATTATATAAAACTTAACATTGTTAAATATATGTTAATAAATAAAATTTATTCAATCAAACGGTTACAAATGTTAGATCAAATTAAAAATTGACATGCATGATCTATATAAATAAAACATTTAATTTAATAATTAAATTTTAAAATATTAATTATAATATGAGTTTTTAAACAAATGCTCTAAAATTTAAGAAAACGACTTGCATTATATTAACTTCACTAAGAAATATAATAAAAAGGTATTTGGATGATTAGAGTTGACCTTTTTTATCACATCGATTCTCTAGTGCCTTTCATCAAAGGGAGTAGTGAGACTGGCACCTTTGGAACAGAGGAGCCTACTTTGGTCTACCTTCACAATTGGTAATGAATTTAGCACCTATTGACTTCAAAAACACCCTCAATTTGACTCTCTTGCCAAAAGAGAACAATATCAAACAAAACTTCTTAACATAAAATAGGAGCTTTCTTTCTAGGAGAGAATGTAAAAAGAGAAACATGATTAGTGCTTAATATGTTATTTAATCAATTTGTTTTGTTTTATCTGAACAACTCTATAATTTTGTTAATGAAGCTTGTCTGGTGGTTAAGGTAAAGGTTGTTGATTCCATATTAGAGCCTTACCAAGTGTAAATTTAGTTAAGTTTAATGTTAATTTTTCTGTAATTTGTAATTTGATAGACTTATTTGAGTGTATGATTCTAATTTTTAAATTATTGAATATGTACGTAAATTATAATATAATTTGTATTCCCTTGCCGAAAACAATATTTTAGTTTTTGTTTTTTGCTGAAATCAAAATATTCTAATTGTCAAAGCTAAGATGTTTAAGTTGGAAGGTTGATGTACAAATACTAGCACAACCAAGAAGGTTTTGCGAAATCATACAATGAGAAGGTTTTACAATGGGTGTTTGTATTGCTCAAAATCATATTCATGATAAAAGTTTGAGGGTTCAAGTGTTTTAAGCAACTCTTGAAGAGCTTAATCAGATAAGATTGCAAAGTTTAAGGGCTTGAATATGACTTGCTCCTTGAGAAAAAGTTCTCTCTAAGAAAGTGGGAGAATTTAGCAGAAAATGGAAAATAGAGAAAAAGATGGTCAAAACTAAAAAATGATTACGTGAGAAGGACGTATTTATCTCCAACCCCCAGCATTTTCATGAAGAATCTTCATCTCCGAACGTGACATTCTCTTGGCCCTTCCTTTTCTTTATTTGAATTTTTTTAATCATTTGTAAAAGTGCTTTCAGATAAGTTAAAACCAGATTTTGCTTCTTTTTTTTTTTTTTTTTCTCTCTTTCTATTGACTTTCTTTTCGACCAAGCAAGTGCATCCATTCACGCTTTTTCTTTTTATATCAATTTAATCATTGGCTGTTCAGATT